CTGTGAGATTCCAAAGAGGGCATGAGAGGGGAGCAGAATGTATTTAGATGCCTGTGCCTTATAAGTGTGCTGCCATCTATTGTGTCATTATGAGCAGAGGTGGCAGCAACATAAACCGTCAGTGTAGAGCAGGGATCATTATCAACTTGTCCTGGATGGCCGGTGCTGCAAATTTTACCTACAACTCTAATCAAACACACCTAAACAAGCTAATCAAGATCTTACTAGGTATACTTGAAACACCCTGGCAGGTGTGTTAAGGCAAGTTGGAGCTAAACCCTGCAGGGCACCGGACCTCCAGGAACAAGATTGGTGACCCCTGATGTGGAGGGATGCAGCCTGCACTCCAACTTATTTTTAAGGAAGGTAAGCACAACACTGATTCGGCATGTCTAGGGGGCTTCTCGGTGAGAAGCAAGCATTTTGAATGCTATCTTGTGCAGATATCGGTGATGATCACCTGATCGTGAAGCGAACCCTAGCACTAAAGTGGTCTTGTATGAAACAGTTCGAGCAGCGTGACAGTGGATGTGGATGCAATATGCCCCAGCAGCTTATGAAAAAGTTTGTGCGACCACAGTTTTCCTATCGAACTGATTCAGACAGGTCAGCACCAGCCCGGCATGTTCTTGGTTGAGGAATGCCGTCATGTTGACTGAATCTAGCTCCAACCCGAGGAAAGGGATGCTCTGCATGGGGGCGACCTTGCTCTTTTCTCAGTTGACCTGACGCCCCAACTGGTCGAGGTGCTGGATCACCCCGTCTCTGTGCATACTCAATTGCTCCTTTGATGAGTTAAAATCATGCAGTCGTCAAGATACTTGAGTATGCGTATGCCTGTGAACAAAAAGAGCGCCAGAGCAACCTCTGCGAGCTTAGTGAAAACCTGCAGAGACAGGGAGAGCCCAAAGGGGAGGACTTTGTACTGCCATGCTTAGCCTTCAAAAGCAAACTCAAGAAATGGTCGGTGGCATGAAAGGATGGAGACATGAAAATACGCATCCTTCAGGTCTACTGCTGCAAACCAATCCTGAGGATGGACGCACACAAGGATGTGCTTCTACGTGATCATTCTGAACAACAGCCTGTAATGACAGCGGTTCAAAATGCGCAGGTCTAGGACTGGCCGTAGCCCACCAATCTTTTTGGGTACGATGAAGTATGAGACAGCAATTTCCTCTCACAAAACAGGGGCAGATGCAGGGCTGACCCTGGTGAAACACACATCCGTGAACTTGGGAGGGCATTTGGCGAAATGAATCGCGTAGCTGAGTCTAATCGTTTAAATGAGCTATTGCGACGGGCTGACCAGCGCTAACCAGGCTGGCAGAGCCCACACAAGTGGCATCACAGGCACGATCGTTGACGCACCAAAGGTGGGGCAGCACAGAATTGGAGGGTTCAACCAGGGAGTTGCGGGCGGGGGCAGCAAAGCAGATCTTGGAGCCGCAGGCGGGTGCCCTCTGCGAGGAGCAGTTGATGTGGATGGTTTGGTGGAGGGAGCAGTCTTATGGTTCCGCCAATAGATGACTTCACCCATCGCATCCGACTGCTCTTTCACAACTCTGAATTCCTGGGTTAATTTCCCGATGGCCCACCTGGGATATGGGTGTGTTATGAAAGCAAACTTTCTTAACATCATGCATATCAGCCAGGTTTAGCAAGAGGTGGCGCTCCTGGACCACTAATGTGACCATTGTCCTCCCCAGGGCACTTGCAGCCGACATTATGGTACGCAGAGCATGGTCAGTTTCAGAGCGGAGCTCGTGCATAAGACCTGGGTCAGAACCAACCTCATGCAGCTGGGTCAATGCCTGCACTTGTTACTCTTTCAAATGATTGGTTTCTGACAAAATTCCCATAGTGGAAGTTTTCTCATAGCATTGAAGTTCCCTTTCCTCTGGGGAACTGCTGATTTTCATGTGAACTGAACATGCTTCAAAAATGAAAGGGAATTTGCAATGTTATTTAATGTGAAAAGAATGCAAACTAAACAGACCTGACCTAAGCAATGACACTGTTGTCTTTTCAGATGCTCTATGTCAAAAATTTCTCTAACTGTTTCCATAATTGAGCCACACTCGAAAACCGTCACACACCAATTGTGGCTTAGCAATCGTAGCTATGCGTGGGAGGTCTGTCAAGCTTTCGAGCTAGGGAAACAAGTGAAAGTGTTGTGCATATGGATTGTGCAAATCTGATACCCGGTAACGTAAAAGTTTGGACAGGGTGGTGGAATTTTTATATCTTTTATCTCTTTTTATCTCGTTTATCTCTTTCCAAAACCAAAACCCAAGGGGAGAAAAGCCAGTGTGGATCAAGCTGTTTGAGGGGCTGTAAAAGCAGCCCGATCCAGTCATATTTCCATCTGTTTCAAGCTACGAACATTTGGATTACATATTAACAAAACAGAGATATGATCACAAAATGAGCTCTTGCAATTAATATACTTCACCCGCAGCTGTTTTTCCGTAATTTATAATCCTCATGTCCATCTCAGAGCTACAATTCACAGATGTTTTCTTTGGTCTTTTGGGGATTTAGTCATTGGTGACAACATTATAGCAGATTAGTGTCTGCTTTTATATTTGATGTTGGATTAATATTTGAGGGTAGGGAAAATCTGTTCACTTCTGCTTTTTATACTTTGATTTGCTTTTTAATTTATTTTTTCCACTTAACTGCAAATTAGAATAGAAAGTGGAAAAAGCACACAAATATGACAGTTATAAGCGCTGTATATTGTTATGGGTCAATGATGCTAATATTTGGCACAAATCCATCAATTTCCCCTTTCTGTCTGTTTTTTCTACGAATGAATCATGTGGAAGCACTGTCCCTGCGTGTTTTCTCGTCGGTTAGTAATGCTTTATTTTATTGCACAACAATTAGTCTATCAGGCTTTTTGGCTAAAAATAGAGAAATCACGGCTTAATTTGTTACTATTAGATTATTTAAAAATTTCACCTCTCCTGCTGTGCATGAACTAAGCTGTTGAATGATCAGCATATGAGGTGGCTAGGCTAACCCAGCTTCAATTTTAATTAAATTATTTTCTAATCGGTTGCGTTTTATGTTGTGAATATACCACTGTAATGCATACTGCAGTGCTTTTTTGTCTGGCTTTCTCTGATATCTCACCTGTTCACCAAAAATTACCAATTATATCCCTGGAAAGTCTAACACTATCACATACATATTGTAATAGACATGCCAGTCGTGAAAGCTTGACAGGCTTAACAACAGTTACTAAAGAGTAGCACTTCAGGGCGTTCTGAGTTCGAATCCTGGCTTGAGGACATTTCCCATCCCTACCTCTTCTCTCCCTCCCACTTCGCTTACTGTATGAAATACTGTCCTATCCACTTAATGAAGGCAAAAAAGGCCAAAAAAAAAAAAAGAAAAGAATGAGCCGTTCTAAAGTAGATTCTTCTTGTCATCGCTGTGCTTTACGTAATGTTTAAACCACAGCAACTTCAATATACCCTAAAAGTTGTGTAAGGTGAAAAAAACATAAATCACTTTAATTCGAAAAGGCTTTAAAACAGAACATATTACCCAAATACAGTACATGTGCTGACATATCTTACTGTAAATAGCAGACTTAACAAACTGGATGTCCATGGTTAACTAACTACACACAGTCACATCCCACCGGACAGAGTCTCCTTTCATCTGCACACAGGTGGCATGACCTGTCTACACTTGCACACAAACAAAGACCGTTCCCATCTATTCATCAGGGACTGTACTGTGTCATATCTGACACAAATGCATCTCCTGCTAGAGAGCTATTAGACAAACACAAAACATTTTCAATATATACTATATACAATGCCATTTAAAAGCTATATAAAGGGCCGTGTCCATCTACAAGTCTTGATCATTGGACTTCTCTTTGTACTTCCTGATACAGTCATTCCTCAAAGGTAAGTAGAATTTTTTTTTTCCATCATGAAGTTTTTTGTTTGTGGCTTTGTAAGATCTCTACATGAGTTTATCTATTTTTAATTGTAACAGTTCAATCACTAAAATAAGATAGCTGTAACAAACTATTCACAAGCTGTTGTTAGATGGTGCTATTATTATTGTCCTAAACAGTAAATATATGCCAATTCTACATTCAAATTCTAGTCTCTGACATATTGATGTTGTTGACATGTGAAAGTTTATACTGTGCATTAGGGCTGCACAATATATTGTTTGAGCATCAGTATCAAAATGTGGACATCCGCAATAGTCACATCACAGGATCTGAAATGTTGAATCTGAATTATAGTTGACTAGAAACCACCAAACACATGTGATTTGTAGAATCACTGCAAAGTTTAACCACAATATATGGAAAGTTTTGCATGTACTTTAAAGTCCTGTCACTGTGTGAGCACTTTAAGAGTTTAAAACATTTGGACACAGGATATTATGATGTTTGGAGGTGTAATAATGATTAATTATATTGAATATTTAAACTAGGATGACTATATAGTGTAATTTTACATTTACACCACAAAAAAAAAAAAAAAACATTTTTCTTACTTGGATTTTTTGTCTTGTTTCTAGTTCAGATATTTTATTTTGCCTCTTTAAGGAAATGCTCACTTAATTTTGACTAATTTCGTCTGAAATTTAAAACAAAACAACATTTTTACTTCTTGATATTTTTTATATATTTGGACCAGAAAAAAAAAACTATGTAAGAAAATAATTTTTCCCAATCTGATTATTACATTTCTTTACCTGGACACTGTTAGACTTGCCAGAAAAAATGTCAGAACAATTCAAACCATCTGTTGAAACTGTATTCATAATAATTATCTAAAAATAATAATAATAATAGCAAAATCAGATATTTTTCCAATATAATGCAGCCATATTATCCATTTACACTTCGAAAATACACAGACTTTTTAAAAAAAATAAAAATAAAACAAAATCTCCACAAATTTTTTGTAAGTAGAAATTCTGAACCATCCAAAAATACAATGCAAATTTTCTCATTTTCTGAAAGCTCTGATTTTCATGTAGAAATTGATGGTGCTCAATCTTCTATCAGACTGAAGACACTGCTATCAGAACAGAGGGCACCAGGGGTTTGTGCGCTAGAGCCATCTATGACCTGCTGCTATGGATGGAGGAACATTAACGGTGTCTGTCAACGTGAGCAATCGGATCATTTTACTTGAGTTACAAGCTAAATCATACACATGATCCTTATAGAGTAAAGATATACTGTAGGTAACACAAATTAATTATTAATTATATTCCTATACAATTCATGAGTATCGATGGCCTTTTTATTTAAAAACACTTTCTAATTGGTGACTTTAATTAAATAATAAAATTATATAATTGTTGCCACCCAGCTATATGTAAGAGACCCTGTGAGAATGGATTCTGTATTGGGCCTGATCGATGCTCGTGCATGGAGGGCTACAAGGGCAAAGACTGCAGCGAAGGTAAGATACAATATTTCAAACAGCATTGTCTGTAAACAAGTAATGAGAATATATGCTTTACACTAAATAAATTTATGATAAGCTTCTACTGTACACTGTCATGCTGGGGTTAATAAAGAGAGAGTGACATTGACACTAGAAGAACTAACCATAAGAGTAAAATTGTTCATTCATTAAATTTCCTTCAGCTAAGTCCTGATTATTACTGCAACTAAGTCCATTGCAGGAGTCACCACAGTGGAATAACCCACCAACTATTCCAGCATTATTTTTTTACGCAGCGGATGCCCTTCCAGCCACAACCCAGAACTGGGAAATACCCACACAGTCTTGCATTCACAAACGCATGCACTCATACATGAAGGCCATTTTTGTTTACCCAATTCACTTATAGTGCATGTCTTTGGACTGTAGGGCAAAACCTGAGCACCCACGAAGGAAACCCACACAAACACAAGGTGAACATACAAACTCCACACAGAAATGCTAATTGGCCCAGCCGAGGCTTGAACCAGTGACCTTATTGCTGTGTGGCAACAGTGCTAACCACAGAGCCACCGTGCCACCAGGAAAATTGTTAACAATAGAAATAATGAAACACTTTAATAGGTTGAGTGTAGCAGCAATATCCTAAAAACTCCAACCCTCAAAAAACTGAATGCATTCACAATTTTATAAGCTCTTTTAAAATTGATTGTTTTTTGTATTAATGTTGTCATCATGTATATGCACACAGACTGTTTGGGATAAAGTGAGGTGGAGAACAGATGGAGAAATATATGACTATTATATATGTAGGACCCTATTACACACCAGGCACAATAAGACACAAGACGTGTTTGGTAGGATGTGTGGTTATTTTCAGACCAGCACAACAGTAATTTTCCCGCTTTGCGCTATGTTGTGGGTGTGCCGGTCTAAAAAGGAGGTGTGTTAAGGAGCATTGTTGGTGTGTTGCTATTTTGAGGAACTAAAATAGACAAGTGCAATAGATCAGCTTAAAGTCCAGCACAGAGTGCGTTAGTTATGCGCCTTAAACACATTGCTTAGTACACACAGGACGTACAGCAATATGCAAATATCTTTCCAAATGAAAAAGATTTAAAGGATTAAAATGTTACAAAAAGTATTATTTTCTACATAAAGAGAAAGAGATAGTAAAGAGGCTGATTGAAGGAGGCTCGTTCTTTATCATCGCACTGCAGATGTCTGTTTAACTGTTGCTAGTGAAGCATTCAGTTTTTCCACTTACAAAGTTTGCCATGTAAATAGAAAATGTCCCATGGGTGCGATACAATTGACTCTTAAAGGAATGGGAGATGAGGGTCTAATCGGTTTATTCTCAAAACACACCCATAACTCAAGTTCAACCCTGTTAGACCATATGCCGTGGCGCAAATGTATTTTACCATCCTTAAAATATAGCAAAAGCAGATTTGGACACATTTTTAATGTTTTTGCGCCATGTACTTTAGACTTTGCGCCAACTCCGAGCTCCTCCCGAGTGACAGAGCTCCTCACCCTATCTATAAGTGTGTGCCCTGCCACCCTGCGAAAGTAACTAATTTCAAAATATGAAACATTTGAAGTATTGCAAGCATCAGAATGTGTTATATTGTGATCAGTTGGCTTATGTTCTGCAAATGTTTTTTTTTTGTTTTTGTTTTTTTTTTTTTCAATACAGATGTCAATGAGTGTGGGCTCCCAGAAAGGCCCTGTTCACACAGCTGCATGAACACAATGGGGAGTTACCGTTGTTTCTGCAATAATGGACACACTCTGGACACTGATGGCAAATCCTGCATCAGTAAGGCAAAGCAAAAGGCATTAAACTATATTTGGTGAAATGATCGCCATGTTTTTAATGAGAGAAAAACAACTAAATAAAATCAGGATTTACAATTTATATGTCTTACTTTTTTTTCCATTTATATGCATCAAAATGTGTATGCCTGCTGCATATACCTGATTTAAATACTTGCATTTAATTTGCTTTCTAGAGAAACTGGACTGCATCTCCCTTCGCTGTCAGTTTGGTTGCCAAATTGACAGAAATGATGAAGTGGGCTGTGTCTGTCCTCCAGGATTACAACTTGCACCAGATTATAGAACCTGCAAAGGTGATCTCACCTTCTATTGTTTAAATATATTTTATAGACATCACCCTTTTATAAAACATTTTCAGTTTTAATAAAGCTATTACTAAATTACAATAACATGTAATAGTTTAACATCTGGTCAGTGGGAACTACTAGGCCAGTAACAGGAGCAAAAAAGGGACTATTACAAAAATGTGCCATTTTTACATGAGTTGGGGAAGAAAGGCTATGGTTGTTAGACAGGCAAAGGTGTAGAAAACAGTCTCCTGAACTATCAGAATTGTTGGAGTGAGTGTAGCAGCTATTGCCAAAAGATATGACTTTGGCATCCACTGAGAACAGGTAGGGAGACCGCTTCCCATGCACAGGACATGTCAGCAACTCCCACATAGCAGGCTAATGGCTCCTACCTACACAGCCAGAAAGTCTGTCATTAGCATCTCTCAGCCTAATGTTCATGATGCTCTTCTCCAGACCAGAACAATCATCAGAACATCTCAAAAGATCTCTAAAGTTGAACAACAAGCTTAGCAATCAATAAGTGCTCTTCCAACTTTTGAAAAATAGAATAAGGCAGGCCTTTTCTGTCACTGCACAGTCATTTTAAACATATAATTTGTTCTTTTTATTACGGAAATTACTAGCCACAGTGTTTATGACTCTATAGATGAGCATTTAATGCAAAGGTTACAAATTAACAATGAGAAAAAGCATCTAATCAAATATATATAATGCTTTAGCAGACTTTCGGGGAGCCTTTAATTTACTTGTTTAAAGGGCATATCTTCTGGGCTTTTAACCTTGTTGATATCATACTGTAGTAGATGCACATTTCAGTAGTTTAAGCAATTGTGTTCTTTCCTGATTTAGTTTTATCTGAAATGCAGGTTGTTGGTTTTTGGATTTGTTTGGAGTCTGTTGGAATTTCAACACTAGATTTGAAGGTCCCCTTAAAACATTCTGCTGCCTAACCCATCATCCCACATTTATGAGTTCGCTTTATCAGATGGCAAGGCAAACAACAATCAATCGCTGCTAATACATTCAATATACAGATGTTGTGTTTTAATGCTATCAAAATGCTAGTATTCCAACTTTTATCTCCATTTTGATTGAATTCAGGGAGGCTACAGGTTTTTAAACACAGCTTGAATGTGTAATATGAATAAACAGTGTTCAAAATGGCTGGTGAGAGAGTATTCTCTATGGAAATAAGTAAAACCTTACAAACTTAGTAGATATAAACTAAATGTTATAAACATTTTTGAGAACATCTTAATCTAAAATGTCATCACTGTCTTTTAAAAGACACCACATATAATTCCAATATTTTACTGAAATATTAATTATATTATGTAACTGTGTCTAATTAAATCCTAATCAGTGACATTTTGTTTGTTTTTTGTAGACATCAATGAGTGTGATGATCCCTCACACACCTGCACAGAACACCAGTCCTGCAAGAACACTTTTGGGAGTTTCACTTGTGTCTGTAAAGACGGATTTATCTTGGGAACACTCCAAGACACAATCACTTGTCGAGGTATTTTCTTTACTCAGCGACTGCGAAAAAGGAGCTACAACTTTCTTACCACTCCTATTTTAAACTCATTAATTAACAATTTTAACACATTTGGAAGTATTTGGTTTCAATTTCAAGTCCAAAAAACATAATAAATTTCATTTGTATTACATTTTTAAAATTGTGTTGGCTCTTAAATGAATACTTTAAGAATAATTTGTATTATTATTATCATTTAGTATATAAATAAATATATTCATTCATTCATTTATTTTATTTTTGGCTTAGTCCCTTTATTAATCTGGAGTCGATACAGCAAAATGAACTGCCAACAGTTCTGAATGGCCAGCATATGCCCTTCCAGCTGCAACCCATCACTGGGAAAAATCCATACACTCTCATTCACACACATACACTACAACACTACAGACAATTTAGCTTAACCAATTCACCTATAGTGCATGTCTTTGGACTTGTTGGGGAAACCGGAGCACTCGGAGGAAACCCATGCAACCTTGGTGAGAACATGCAAACTCCACAAAGAAATACAAACTCATCCAGCCGGAGCTCGAACCAGTGACCTTCTTGCTGTAAGGCGATCGTGCTATTTACTGTGCCACCGTGACGCCCCTAAATATATATCTTTTTTATTTATTTTATTTTTATTTTTTGCCTTAATATTATTCTCTTTAGTCACAGCGAAACATGAGTTTATAGATAATGTAAGGATTCATCTGGCAGCTTAAAGTGTTTGAAGATATTCATTGACCACACAAACACTGATCGGATGTTATGTTTGCCACATACATTGTCTACTTGGAAACTCTGTCATTGCTCAATTTCTCATGCTTGAAGCAGATTTTTGAGAACTGCAACAAAACAACCTAAAAAAAACTGTAAATGAAAAAAGTAGTTGGATGCAAAAAAATATAAAATGTTGGTTATAAATATTACACAAATATTACCAAATCAAGCATCACTCCAGTCAGTGACTAAAATATAAAGAAAAAAAAAGAATGAATGACAAAATAATACTATGACATGACTTGGAGGGCAGTGACAAAATAATAATCATCTATGGCAGTGGTTCTCAAAGTGAAGTTTTTAAACTAATTTCGAGAGGAGCACGTGATATAATTGACAGCAGCTGGCCACCTATCTACACTCATTAGTTAGCCAATCAGATCTATCCTAACCCACTATAAGTAGCCTAGCTAGACATTACTCCCTTATCTTCGTTTTCCGAAGAAACAAACGACAGGTCTGCTCTAGCTCCTCCAAAAGTTACTCACGGACAAAACGGATCCTCCACATCACCTACTATTCTTCAACTACAATACCACACCACCTTTACTACCATCGTCAGCAACTACAAAAAATGACAAAAACAACAACAACAGCGACGGCGGCTGAGATCACAACAGCATCAGCGCAGCTACATACAAGAAAGAAAGCTCCGCGCTCCCTGAAACACCAGCCCCCGTCTTAACAACAACCAGCCCAGCATGAAAGTCAGCTCGAGACCGAGGCTCCAACGAGAGGCCGTAGGCCTATCCACTCCAGCCAGATCACAATGCAATCCCCAGCTCCGCTACGTACCTTCTCCAGCATCATCATGTGTCACTCATATCCAACAACGACTGTCACTGAACTCCTCCAAACTCCTAGACGCCGGGACCATAATTCAAAGCCGCTGCATTAAACCCAAAACACTTGCGAATCCACGTCTTCACCGCCACCCCCAGGACATAACACGCTCCTGCCACACCCCCTATCCTAAACAGACATTAAACCCGCAATCTCTCCGCCTCCCCGGAGAATCAAGGAAAGGATTAAAAAGCAATATTGGATTTGGACATATTGCAGCAATCATAATTCTAAACACGGATAAAACCTATCTCCCGGACAATAAAGCAACTCTTGGGAATCCCACCTCTTCCATCCTGCAGCTCCCGATTCCAGTGCACACTCCAGTCCTCCTCTTTCAGCGATCCTTACCACCTACGCACCCCGCCCCTCTACCTTGCGTATCATTGCTTTTCCCCCTCTCATTTTTACAAGCTCGCAGCTACTGCTGATTATTTTCTATTATAAAATAGAAATTACTTGTCGACTTTTGTCAATATGTTTATGCTTTTACTGAATTACGTTTGTAACTGACCTAATTTTCTGAATTTCTCATTCCAGGTTTCGTCTACTGAAGCACAGCCGATCTCGGCGCTCCCTTCCCACAACCTCACTAGCCGTCCACCAACACTACACCAGAAATCACAGAGCAATTCCCTGTTAAGCACATCCATACCAGCCCTACTGAAATGGACATTAGAACGTTTCTAAAAACGTCTAATAACGGCTCTTTCATCTCCTCATAATTCTGCCTTTTTCAGCTTAACAGCATGATTCTACCTGATGAATATGCTTAAACTATCACGTTATAAACCAAGCAATCTCTCTAATCTAGACGGCTGCAGCGCCCGGTTGCAATCAACATTACACCCGCCACCCGATTTCTGGCAATCGGAGGTCACAATTACATTTCATAGTCCGTTTAACATTCGGATGCAAAAGTAGCCCACACATTTATGCTTAAAAACGATCCGCTGGATTTCGCCAATAACTACGGTGTTTGCACGTAATTCACCTACAAGTTCCCGTTTCTCTCTCCCTAATATCCCCCAGCTAAACTAGTGACCGGTTTTCTAATATTTGCATTCTCATTGCGGAAGAACCTCCGGCTTAAGCACTTCTATAGAATTCTTAAGCATCAATTTGGAGTGATAAAATTTCAAGCATTAATAAGCCACTTGAATAAATCGACAATCAGTCCCCTTTTATATTCTGGAAGAAATATCACGCTAAGCATAAACTGCTCTCCATCTAGAACATCAAACACACATGCGCATTATCCCGCAGGGATGCCTTTTCGTCACTCACCAACTTCATCTCGCAGCAGCAATCTCCGAAATAGAAGAGAAATGATCTAAATCCGATCTTGGCCGTAACAAACTCTGCCTGAAGGGCGTCGCGCACCAGAGGCGCCGACGGCGCGGTGACGCGACGCACTTACGTCAGAGAATAGTAGATTAATGCACACCAGACTCACGCATTCATACTTTATCAAATAAACTAATCAATTATACAAATAGCGCTCCGCGGCGCGGCAGAATACGAAGTGTCATGAATTGTGGCTGGGCACTACGGACAGCCGCATTGACTTCCTTATTATTTATTTCCTTCCTGTGAAAGTCAATGGTCACAGGTTTTCAGCTTTCTTCAAAATGTTGTCTTTAGCGTTTAACACGGGAGTCACTAACCTCTGAAACTAAGAGCTACTTTCGGGCACCGATTAACGTGGAGGGCTACCAGTCGGATAAACACTTCTCAAATAACAAATTGCTCAATTTACTTATAATTATAATTTAAGTTTTTGGTTATTTTTTAATAATGAATAATATTCATCCAGGTGTAGTCACTGATCATGTTATGATTCTCTCAAAGTTACCAACAATGATTTAACAGGGTAGGAAATACCCCGTAATTAATATCAACGTGCAACACTATTTTATTTATCTTTGCAAATATTTACATTTTTAAATGATTACTTCTATATTAGAGAAAGCTTACTCGTAAGTGGTGTTATGGTGAGCTATTTTAGAACAGGCCTGTGAGCAACACACGAGAGCCTCGTGAGCTATCTGGTGCCCATCGGTACCATATTTGGTGACTCCTGGTTTAACAGAAATGAAAATCATAAAGGTGCGTAACCATCAGGTAGCGCTTAAAGCATGCGACCTGCTTATGCTTCCTTCCTTAAGCGCTGGAATAGAAGCCATTCATTTATTAGCTATCCAATTTCATCCTCAGTATATCCTTTTTACACAGATGCTGCCCCCTTCGTGGGGTATATTTTTGGGGCCGCCAATGCGCTTCTAACGGGCAATATCGTCAATACATTCTTAAAAAAAAATAAATAAATAAATAAATAAATTAAAAAAATAATAATAAATAAAATAAATAAATAAATAAATAAATAAAATAAAAAAAAAATAAATAAAAAATTACTGCTGTACATGTTCCTAGTTGCATAGGAAATCGCTGACTCTCTTTTGCTTTATTTTCAGAAACTGGTATCAGAAGCAGAGCCGCAGCTGACTCCATCTCTCCTTTTAAGATGATAATCCCATAACCACAGCATACACAATTTGCGTCAGCATTCATTTATACATTTTAAGTTACCCCAGAACACCTCATCAGTTTCTCACTGCTCAACACATCCACACATTCCGTTCAATAACATTTTTGGTTTCATAACACCTTAAAGTCATAGGACCATTCAGGCTTCCCACCAGATTCATAATCCAGTCACTCATTCAGAATTGGAGCCACCACCACAGCAGCACACAAGGGCTATCGTAACAACACATACAAACACTAGGAAAGTAGTCTCCCGACGCCTTCAAATCTTATATCTGACTCAGCCACAGCCATCTCAGGGAAGCTCAGAGGACCCTCACCAGCAGACGCAGTAATCCCAGCGGCCAAGGGTATGGGCCTAGTCCAGGGAGAGAATACGACCCAACCATACCAGCTTCCCGAGGGCAGAGGAACTACCCAGACTCCCAAGGGCGCGGGCATGACCCAGCCATCTAGCTTCCTTTCTTCCTTCCAGCTGATTTGCACTCAGCCTTCTCCCCCTTTTCACTCACCTAACTCCAGTAGGAGTTCTCTCCCTGCCCAGGCCCCCTTGTCACCCCCGCCCCCCCCCGGCCGCTGCCACAGAAGTTTTCACTGCCCCCCAACTTTTCTAACTTCTGTAGGACCCCGCCCCCCCCATGGCTCTGGCCCCCGCAGGGGCGTTACCCCGAGCTTCGATTCTCGCAGGAATCATCTCACTGCCCTGGCCTTAGCTTTTATATTATGTCATTCCATAATGACATATAGTATAGCACTATTTATTTTTCTCTCTGTTTGATTTTATTTATATAAATTTATATCTATATGCACCCACGCATATAAATATGAATTTATATATAGTGCTGTCACCCTCACGCTCTGTTCCCGCAGGAACACCCCCAGAGCACCTATACCGCCCGTCACCCTCCAGTAAGAAGTCTTCACCTCCCCCTCATCTTTCCCGACTCTTACTGGAGCAGCTAAATAGCTCACCCAACCCCGAGCTGTGACACGAGTCATGTCACCGACCCTCCCCGGCCCTAGCTTTTATTTATGTTTATTTTTGTTTATTTCTCACACTTATCTTTTATTTTTTAAATTTATTTATATATATGTGTATATATATATGCACCCACGCATATAAATATATATTTATATATAGTGCTGTCACCCTCAAGCTCTAACTCCCACGGAGTTAATCCCGAGCACCGGACCCCCGCAGGGGTCATCGCCCAACTGCCATTTCCCCCTTCAGCTGGGGCTTCACCGACCATTCCTTTTCCCGACTCCAGCTGGAGATGGCACATACAGCTCTCTCTCCCGCAGGAGAGCCAAGAGCTTCGACTCTCGCAAGAGTCAGTAAAAACGCCCCCCCAAGGCCCTAGATTACCCCATTATATATTTATATATCTATATGTTTCATATAAATATATAATTATATATAGTGCTGTCACCTCCCAGCTCAATCTCCGCAAGGAGTATTCCTCGAGCAAATTACTCCTTTGGAGTCCCCGCCCCCCCTGCCCCCCTTCACCCCCCTCTCCAGCCGGAGTCCTTCACTCCCCTTCCCTTGTAATGACTCCAGCAGGATTCCCGCCCACCCCATGGCTCTGACCCCCGCAGGGGTCTCCCCGAGTCTCTACTCCAGCAGGAGTATTCACAGCCCAAGCCAACTCTGCTCGGGTTCCCGCAGGAACCTGTTTCACCCTTTGCTCCAAAGGAGCCCTCTTTACCTTTTCTTTTCAAATAACTATATCCAGCAGCCGGATATAGCATTTCAAGCCTTTTGGGGAGTTTCTTCGAATACACGGCTGCTGTCCCGAGCTTCATGCATTTGGGGAGCTCTCGAGAACCACCTGATCTCGTACTCCCCTCACATGCTCTATGGACCTGGCGGGAGCCCTGGGCTCAACTATCTCCGAGCTCAGGGTTCCCTCCCGGGACAGCATGCCAAACCTGCTTACAGCTGTCAAGCAATATCTAAGTGTGAACTCTTGAAGTGAAGTTTTTAAACTAATTTCGAGAGGAGCACGTGATATAATTGACAGCAGCTGGCCACCTATCTACACTCATTAGTTAGCCAATCAGATCTATCCTAACCCACTATAAGTAGCCTAGCTAGACATTACTCCCTTATCTTCGTTTTCCGAAGAAACCCCCCATCCACCCCTTTCTCCTCCTTTTCTCCTTTACAAAAAGGGGAGCTCTCGAGAACCACCTGATCTCGTACTCCCCTCACATGCTCTATGGACCTGGCGGGAGCCCTGGGCTCAACTATCTCCGAGCTCAGGGTTCCCTCCCGGGACAGCATGCCAAACCTGCTTACAGCTGTCAATCAATATCTAAGTGTGAACTCTTGAACTGTGTTACGTGTACCACTACTGGTACGCAGGCTTCCTTCTAGTGGTACGAGGAGGAATGAAATATGTCATGTATATGCAACACACTTTTCAAAATTTATCAAAAACTATGCATATCATATGCCATATATGACATATAGCCTATATTTCTGGGCTAATCTGCCACGTTTTTTTAACTGTGCAGAGTTGCAGCTGCTTTACTGGGTGTACTACGCTACTGTATATTTCAATACTGCTCATTTTGATGGTACTTGGAGAGACAATTTTTTTCTAAGGTGGTACTTGATGAAAAAAGTTTGAGAACCACTGATCTATGGTGTTGTTAGCTACTAAGATTACCTTAAATTCAGACAAAATGTTTTATTCACAAATGATTTGTTTACAATTTGTGCTGACTGAGCCAACAATATCGTGGCTGTAACAAAAATGGCAAAATTCATACTGCATATGCGTACTCACCATAATCATGCTCACATAATAAATAAATAAATAAATCCATCTTTCTCTCTTATGTTACAAACAGATATAGATGAGTGTCTGACTGGCAACCATCACTGCAGCCCCAAAGCCAGCTGTGTGAACACTGAAGGCTCATACATCTGCCAGTGTGAGAAGGGCTATGCTGGAGATGGTTTCAGATGCCAGAAGAAGAACAACAGACGGTCACTGGCGACTATGTACTTACAGTATAAACACTTCAAACACATAAGGCCAGTATACCACTTTAACAGCAGCGTAAGGATGACTGTTAATAGGGTTTAAAAGGAAAGTTAGAATATGTTTCATCGTGTCCTGCAAATAGGTCTTTGATATTATACATCTTATTATTTGCATTGCCAAATTTTACCCTGAATGGAATTTTTGCAAAATAAATGTAAAAATGAAACTCTTTCCTCCAGTTTTTATTTATTTATTTATTTATTTATTTTTACATTTGACATTTTTCCACACAAATGCTGAAACACTGCTTTAACAATGTGCTACGCCTCTGTAGCTGTCAAAATCATGTGAATATGACACGTTTGGCTATTAATTGCTAAGAATAAACCTGCAACAGTGTAACATCATTTTAAACTGACACCAAAAGCAGTAAAAATTTTGCTTTAAAAAAGGATTTTATAACCCTGGTTCAAAAAGCATGGCGAATCTCAATTCTAAATTACAAATGGGAAACCTTCTCTGAGGAAAGATGACCATACGTCCTCTTTTTTCCTCACACAAAGGACTTAAAAATGCGTTTGACTGGGATTTCCACTTCGCTTTTTACAGTCGTCATTGATTGAATGCCTTTTTAGTGCTTTATACCTCTCTCTTTAAGAATGATTTATACATTTGCATGGCTCTGCAGGTGATGGTACACACAGCACGTAGTAGAGGCTCTTATACTTGACACTCTTACTGGTGTACTATTATTTGTAACAACAGGAATCATCATGATAAAACTGGTGAAGAAGAGGTCAGCATATGGAGATGTTGACTGACTAAAATACATTTATCATGTTGGACCACAAAAATGACAAAATCATGGCCTTTCAAATACAATTTTTACATTCATTTTCTTGTCGGCTTAGTCCCTTTATTAATCTGAGGTCGCCATAGCGGAATGAACCGCCAACTTATCCATAAAGTTTTTACACAGCAGATGCCCTTCCAGCCGCAACCCATCTCTAGGAAACATCCACACACACATACACTCATACACTACAGACAATTAAGGCTACCCAATTCACCTGTACCACATGTCTTTGGACTGTGGGGGAAACTGGAGCACCCAGAGGAAACCCACGCGAACGCAGGGAGAACAAGCAAACTCCACACAGAAACACTAACTGAGCTGAGGTTCAAACCAGTGACCCAGCAACCTTCTTGTCGTGAGGCAACAGCACTACCTACTGCGCCACTGCCTCGCCCTTCAATTTTTACATGTGATACTTTAATGAGAGCACTGCACTTTTGGGTGGCACCATCTAGTGGTAGTGTGTTGAGCTATTCTGAGACTGATGGAAATTTTGCGACTCCATGCAAATACAGGTTGCCAGATTGACAACACCAACTAGAGAATGCCTGCCTATCAAGCCAACACCATGTCCTAGTACACAGAACAACACATGCCAAAAGCAATATTTCCATTTTAAAAGGTGTTTTTGTCCTTTTGTCCTTTGTTTAGAAATAGTTTCTATTTCTCAAAGCTGAACAACAGTATAAACTACTTTAACAATGATCTTCACATGTGCTGATTATGTGCTTTATTCAGTATTAAATATAACCGAAAACACCAAGGTGAGTTTGAATACCATTTTATGTGTCATTTATTGCTACACAGATAGCATGAGCAGAAAGTTAAAAAAAACAAACCTATAACTCATTTTAAAAATCAATGTTAGAACTGTGACTTGGTGCAAACCAACAAATGTCAACAATGTCAGTTTAATATATATTAATTTGATTCTAAACCCTGCAGTGTAATGTTCTGCACTTCTGAATGGCAGTATTTAATATAATAATTTAATAATATTTCTGTCATGTTCAATCTGGTACAGGCAGACAAATTGCTTGTTGCTGAAATCTTGTATTGTGTGTTGTTAGGACATGGTGCTACAATGTAACCTGCTCAGCTAATATTTACATTTTTAATATTTATTAATTTTCTTGTCAGCTTAGTCCCTTTATTAATCTGGGGTCGCCACAGCAGAATGAACCGCCAACTTATCCAGCAAGTTTTTCACGCAGCAAATGCCCTTCCAGCCGCAACCCATCTCTGGGAAACATCCACACACACATACACTACGGACAATTTAGCCTACCCAATTCACCTGTACCACATGTCTTTGGACTGTGGGGGAAACTGGAGCACCCAGAGGAAACCCACGCGAAGGTAGGGAGAACATGCAAACTCCATACAAAAACACCAACTGAGCCGAGGTTCGAACCAGTGACCCAGTGACCTTCTTGCTGCGAGGCGACAGCACTACCTACTGCGCCACTGCCTCGCCTGTAAAATTTCTATTATTTCCAAATTAAAAACCACCTCATGTGGATTTTTATAACTCTTAATGTGTCAGTTTGGAAACTGTGTCCTCCAGAGCACGTGTTTTCGGCCAGAGCAATAAACATCGAAAGCCATCAAGACTGAAATGTAACATGCTATTTCCACCAAGGCAACTAGAGGTGTGAACCTACACTGGTCTCATGGTTCAGTTTGGTTACGATTATCATGCCATCAATTTGGTTTAATTCGATAAGCATTGATGATGCTTAAGATACACAATTTTACAGCACCGGAATTCTTGTCTCAGAATGTATAAATATATTTATATATTATTTGTAATGCAAATTTGTCCTTTAAAACAAGCAGTCAGATATATGAACTGCACCTTTAAAAACTTTTAAGTACATGGACAAAACAACACTAGCATTTATAGCAAATAAACAAATGTAAATATAATCCAGCTCACTTTCTGAGCACTGCTAGTGAGTTCTTACACCCCTATGTGTAAGATATATATTTATAGTTATATACGATTTGTAATACAACTTTGTCCTTTAATACAAACAGTCAGATATATAAACTGTACATTTAAACAACACGAGCATTTATAGCAAATAATATAAAGAAATATAAAGATCCCGATCGCTTTCTAATCCTTGTCTACCAAGTTCTCATAAACCCCTTTGGTTGGTCACGCGCTCAACAAAAGAGGCTGCTATTGGCTCTTGCAGGCTGCGCTCTTCAGAGATGAGTGATACTGATAAACTGCAGCGGCGATCACAGCTGATCCATGATGTGGAAAAAACTCTGCAGGCACGCGCTCGTGTCTGTATTCATAAGTATCGCTGTAACAGCCAAGAGGAGAGGAAAAGTCATGCTAGCAGGTCAAATGGGCCAGAGTGAGAGAGAGAGAGAAATAAGAGTTTACTTTCATTCTCTTAATCGCAGGGGCTTCTGCTGTGTGTCAGTAAAAGACTGTCCATCAAACACACAGACAGTGAAACTGTGCACAGTTTTTGCATTTTTAAGTAGCTGGAGCATTGTAAATACTCACGCTCGCCTCCCTTGCCATATCGCATATGAGGTAAATGATGTCACTACATAATAACCGGTTATGATTATTACTGAACCGATACCGAATTACCGAATTCAAGTCTGCATCGGGGTGCACCAAAGAAACAATTTATTTTGACACCCCTAATAAACAGCAGTGCGAAGCAGTGGCGCAGTAGGTAGTGCTGTGGCCTCACAGCAAGTAGGTCATTGGGTCGCTGGTTCGATCCTCGCCTCAGTTTGGTTCATTTCGCTGTGGCAACCCCAGATTAAAGGGACTAAGCCGACAAGAAAATTAATGAATGAACAATAAACAGCTGCGGTGATCATAGACGCAAAGGAGAAAATTCGCTCTGGAGACATCTAGAAGTATCGCTTTAACAGCCAAGAGGAGAGGAAATGTTCCCTCGCGGTAGTAGGTCAAATACCCACAGTGAGAAGGAGAGTGAGAGAGACAAAGATGGAGTTTACCTTCTTTTTCTCAATCGCAGTGAAATAGGGGCTTTGCTGTACCTTCAGTGACAGTGTAAGTAGTTGAAGCATTTTTTTTTTTACTCGCTGTCGCCTCCCTCAGCATAGTAAGCTACCGCAATATAGTGCATATCAGATAAATGACATCAATACGTAATAACCGGTTATGATCTATTGCTAAACCGATACCAAACTGTCCACATCTTGGTGTACCGAAGAAACAATTCATTTTGACACCCCTGAAGGCAACCCAGGGTGCTGAAATATAATTGTCTGGACATAAGGGCATAATTAAAACCTTGGATTTGGTCACAAGTTTTTTTTTTTCACTTTGTGCACTTGAATACATAACATTTATTTTAAGGGGAAGTGTCTAATTACTGAAAACTACTCCATATTGCACTCCCTCAATAGCGCCTGACATCAGTACTGCTTAGTAAAATACTGACCTCTGGTGGAAAGATGTTCTCTAACCCTTTATCAAGATGTTTCAATGAAACCCTTTATCTCATAGATCTCATGTTATCTGAATTCTGCATTCAAGAGTACAGAAATCATAGACAAGCTGACAATAAAACATTAAGGAAAATAAAGAATAAAATATAAGACTTGCTTGTATGCTGAAAACACTGGCAGAAGTGGGAATGGGCAGCTGCATCCAGACTCTTAAACTTGTAGACTACTCAATTCAAGTTCACCACAGCAGGTGTCACATTGGACCATCACAGGAAAAGAGAGAGTACTCCAAACCCTGGAACTACTTACGGGACAGCCGAGAACAAAGGAATGAAATGGGGGAACATAGAGCCACGTCGAATAATTCTGACCACAATGCCTGGAGAGGGGAAAAAATTCCACAAACTCACCACAAGAAACGCGATAAAACCTGCTCTTTTTCATTCAAAGCTGTCAGAAAGCATCTATACAAAGGACACAAACAGAAAACATTTCAGATAAAAGGTTCCAGGCCCCTTTTTATGAAGCAGACCTCACACCAAGTTGTATGTAATTCCTACCAGAAACTGGTTTATTTACCGAAAAATAAGATTTAACGCCAAGCTTGGCACTACAAATAAAAAGCAAACAAGTGGAGGAAGCTACGAGAGGAAAGGAGGGAGTGAAAATCAACCTGGGGAGGAAAAGAAACGCACACAGCGGTGGAAAGTTTCTCTCTGTCTTTCTAGTTATTTTTCTCAGTTCTGTTTATGTGACACTTGGGCAGAGCGAAAGGGCGGACACTTGTGCTAATGTAACACTGCTTGCTGCTATTGCTGCTAAGTTAAGTGAAAATAATTAATATGTAAATCTAATTTGGACATCTGCAGCTCCAGCAACTCTTTGGCCACATCTATTTAGGAATTCAGCCCTCAGCTCGG